GCCCTCGCCTCACACTTCGGTGGCCGGAGCAGCCGGCCCCGACCAGGCATGCCCCAGCCACGCAGAGCGCAAGCACTTTCTCATGATCGGCAACTGGCGGCACCCTCCCAACCTGGACTCTGCTCGCTGGGCATGCTCTGAAATCTGGCCGGCGCTGCGGGCAGCACTGCCATCGGAGCACCGCGATGCGCAGCTGCACATGTATGGATCCTATGCAGCAGGGGCCGCACAGCAGCTGCACCGTCCGGTGAGTGCCAGTGTGTGTTGTGTGTGTGGGGTGCTGTGTGCATGCATCGCATGCATCGCTGCACCCAAAGTTATCAATGCTGCTGCTGCTGCCGCAGAAGGAGGGCGTCCACATGAAGGGGTTTGCCCCCAGCCTGGACATCATGCTCAGGTACCGTGTACTGCTGGCGCCACTACGGTACGGAGCAGGGCTCAAGGGCAAGGTGGGTGGCACCCGCGGTGCGCTCGTTCAGGGATTTCCGCAGCTTGGTGGTGCCGTGCAGGATCCCCGCCTGCATGAACAACCCTGCCATGGCCACCCACTCCCTGCCCGGCCTGGCCGCAGGTGGTGGACAGCTGGTGGCATGGCCTGCCCGTCGCCACAACCCCCATTGGCGCCGAAGGCATGACAGGCGCAGCTGCAGCACCGGCTGTCGCAGCAGCTGAAGAAGTAGTAGTGCCTGATGAAGCAGCCGAGGGCTATGTCTGGCAGCTGGGAGGCGACGGCTGCGGAGAGGCGGCAGCAGCGGCCGGCCGGGAGGGGGAGTGGGGTGGCCTGTGCGGCGCCACCTCAGCCCACCCCCCAGGCGCAGCCACCCCCACACCTGGCACGTCAGCGCCCCACTGATAAAGCTGCTTGGCCCGCGCCAGCAGCAGGTTGGCGTGGGTGGCGTTGTCCGGGCGCAGCAATATGCTGGCCGAGGCGAGCGCCGCGGAAGTCTGCAGGCGGCGGCCGGGTGGGCGGGCAGGCTGGGTGGGTAGGCCGCGGTAAGCGGGCCGAGGAGCAGGTGGCAAGGGCGGGCAGCCCAGCAACTGGCCCGCAGCACTGCCCACGGGGGCATGGGCATGCATGGGGGCAGCAGCGGTGGGCACATCT